TTTTTATGCCCCAAATGGCATCGATTGCCATATTTTTAAAGAACAGTGTCTACAGTAGGTGTTAAGAAGGCAAGTGGCAACCCAGCACCAAGGAGGAAGGGTTGAAGAAGGTCAGGATGAGGCAAGACAAAGACAAAAAGCAAAGGAAACAGAGATGGCAAGTGGGAAAGCAAAGACCAGAGGTGACCAGCCAGCCCCTCTTTCCCCAGAGACCTCCGACGAGGACCGGTGGTGCTGCCCCGCAGACTGGAAAAACCACTGGATGCAACTGAAGGGTAAAACCCATAAAACAGGAGAGAAGGGAGAAGTGATATAGAAAAAGGAAAAGGCAACCCTAATTCATCCCCAGCCAGCTCCCATGAGCCGGCGTTAGCAATTACGGTCTCAGGTTTTCCCCTGGGCATCACCCAGCCCTCAGCTCCACGTCCAGGCGAGCGCGTTATCCTCGCAGCCCCACGGAGCAAAGGGAGATAAAGAACGCGCTTCCTAAACAGTACCTGGTGTCTGGGTAAAATTTGGGGAGACTGAGGAGAGTAAGCGGCAAAAGCTCTGCACAAAGTCATCAGAGCAAAGCACCCGAAGGGGACAGGCTGCAACGAAGCTGTTTTCATCGAGAGAAACGAAGGAACGAGCCTGCAGAGTTTGGAACAGATTAAAACATGTTGCCAATTAAATCACAGCGGCTTTGCTGCCTTCGAGGCGGAGGGAAATCAGGCTCCAAACGGCGAGAGCAGGGAAGCAGCCAGTGCCGCTCATCCGCAGCGCGGGCAGGCTGGACCTGGAGCATCAGGGCAAGCTCCCAAGCGTGGCCAGCTGGCATGTCCCTGCGCTCGCCCAAGTGTCCCTGGGGGCCAGCCCGAGCCCTCTGCTCAGCGACACGGAGCCTGGGAAGCTGCTGGTGGAGGGTTGGTCTGAGGAAGGACTTGCAGGCTGGGCAAAGCTCGCCATGTGGACACGTTCTGCGCTGCATTAGAATTGCACTGAATTATGGTTTTTTTGGTGCTAGAGGAGGTTTCAGGCAGATCAGGAGCTGCCCTGACCTGCCCTGAGAGGCACAGAGCACAGCACTGAGCACGGAACCACCGGGAACGGGACCCGAGGGCAGGACAAGCCCTTCCTCTGCCGCCGTTAGATCAGCATCAGCTAATGGGAAACTCCATCCCGACCGCAGCGCTTTCCCAGCAGAAGGTCCTGTGGTTTATCTTAAGCCATTGACCAGGGTTAGGAAATACCCAAGGAGAGAGCACTGCTGCCCTGCGACAGCATCCCCACAGCCCCCAGAGCAAACCAGCACAGCCCCGCCACCCACCGTCTCCTCTAACCCTACAGCCTTCCTCACTCGCAAAAGACCCAAACCTCAAGGAAACCACAAACATCAGCTCATCAACCCTTCCTGCATTTTTTTTTTCAATCACAAAGTTGCTGGAACAGGGGCTGAAGCCATGTAGCACATGGGGAGGGTGAGGGCAGAGCCGCCAGGCACCAGCTATCACAGAATCCCAGCACCCCAGACTGGTGAGGGCTGGAAGGGCCCTCTGGAGCTCCCCCATCCCACCCCCCGCCAGAGCAGGGGCACCTCCAGCAGTGGCACAGGACGGTG